CCGGCCGAACCGGGATCATATATATTGAAACCTTATCATAATCAATTTTCTCTGTCAAACGATTAGAAGTGAGGATCTTGAAGGGACCTTATCCTCATCGGACCCATTCTTTTATAATATTGCCGCGAACAAATCCGTATTTATCCATTCTTATTGCCTTCCACCTATAATTTCTGAGGATCTCCGATAATATATATATATATATATTCATGTATAGTATCTTGCTGGTTTCAACCCTGTTCACTTTTGATGCTCGTCATGCTTAACTGCAACGATACATGCAGAGAATGCGAGTTGTGCCTCTAAGCCTGAATGTTCATGAAAAGAAACCACGGGCAGGTAGATTGACAAATTCGGTTCTACAGCTCTTGATGAATGCAATCAAGATCCCCTGAAGCGAGACCTGTCTTGAGTTACGTAACAGTTTTTGGCTTCCTGCGGCCTGACCTCCGGCTGTCGCCAATGCCGCGATCAACTTCCGTAGAATTGCTGATCGCGCTCCTGCTCGCTAGCAGCTACAAGGTTGATAGTGGCCTCTTCTCGTTTAGGGTTTAGGGTAACTATCATGTTGGGGCGCTGTGTTCATGACTTCTCTAAAGACGTTAATTATCGGCTTAGCCTCTCAAATCCGTTGAACAACCAGTACAGATGGAGTTCTGCATTGCCCGGAAATCTGAACCCTGAGCTCTGAGCCGACATACTCTTCATCTTCCCGAGCCTCCGAAACCCTAAACCCTAAACCCCATCTTAAACCCAAAGCCCTATCCTAAACCCTCCCGCTTGTCAGGTAAGCTGGCTGCGATTGGTTGGCCGTGGGAGGGGCTTGGCCCACCCACAGAAAGACGTGAGAGTGAGAGCATGTACAATCGGGCTCAAGGCTGCTCTATGGGGGGGAGTCCATCCTTTTAAATCCTCCATACGATGACGTGTGCGGTAACAGTCTTCTCCGGGGGTCGGGAGAGGAAGAGGAATTCTGCTAGCAGCTCAAGCTACAATAAGACCTGCACTCAGCCAAAGCTTGTCACCCTAAACCCGACATGTAGCTTTACTCGTGAAGCCCGAGATGCCTAAACGGAAAAAATCTCGGGTCTCCCCCAGTACTGAGGGGTTTTGGGTTTAGGGGTTTAGGGTGTAGGGGAAGAGGGTTGAGGGTTCCGGGGTTTCGGGTTTAAGGCTTCGGGGTTTCGGGTTTAATGGGTTTGGGGTTTGAGTTTAGCGTTTACGGGTTCACTCCACTTCAGGCCCCGAAATGTGAAACACCAGGCCCGACCAAAACCGTAAACCTTGAACCCGAGGGAGTATGACTTCACAACCGGCAAACGCTTGGGATCAAGCATATGTTACTTGCAGGGTTCATTCGCTGCTGCAGCGGTCATAGGTTCCCTCTTTCTGTCCGAGTGCCTATGCCCCCTCCGCCTAAAAGCTTGGATTTAAGTTTAGGATTCAGCCAGTCCACCCCACCTCTCCCCTTCCTTCCCCTACAACGACCGGGTCAAGGCGAACGGGGCCGACGCCGAGGACGTCAAGCAGTTACAATCTACAGTTGGAGAGGCCTAACTACAGAATTGATAATCGTATCCCAACATGGGCTCTTCAATGCAGAACATACTTATTCATGGGCCCAAAAACCCTATTCTGCTAATTCTCAAGGCCACTGGACTGCCCCGCTGCAGCGTTAAACCTGTAGTGCTTTTAAGACTCTAAACCCTCAACCCGAAACCACAAACGCTCAACCCTTAACCCTTAAGACCCTACACCCGAAACCACACACTCTCAAACCTTTCCCCCTAAGACCCTAAACCCTAAACCCGAAGCCCCAAACCCTAAACTCTAAACCCTTAAGGCCCTAAACCCTAAACCCGAAGCCCCAAACCCTGTTACGGCCTCGCCTTCTCTGCATTGAAGCCGGGCTCTGCCGTCTCCCACCTGGCTTCTGGTAATATGGGGGCCTTAACAATTAGAATAGGGTTTAGGGTTTAGGGTTTAGGGTTTTGGGGTCCTTTATACCAAAACTATAATAACGAACCCCTACAACCCTGTTCTAATTATTAAAGCCCCTACATTAATATGGGTAGTTCTCCAAATCAAGGGTCCCTTTTAGGGTCCGACTTTAGAAGGGTGCCGTAGTATTCTAGGGACCTAAAAGGGGACCCTAAGTTAGAGAACTATCCATATCGCGGCCTTAGTAATTGGAGGAGGTTAGGGTTTAGGGTTTAGGGTTTGGGGCCTATGATCATAGTATACGATGACTATAAAAAGGAACCTTAAGGACAAAATATTGGTTATTATTCAAGCTCCTAGTAACAAGAAAGGAGCCAACAGAATGTTTCGAAGAAGGCATAAAGTTTACAGACCGACCTGAACCCCGGAAGAACCTGCCTGTTTAAGTGTCTGGGCTTGCTGTTTCTGATTTCCTGATGCAAATCCTTGAAGAGGTTCGTTCTTTGGCGGTTCAGCTAGTGCTTAAGGTTTGGGCCAAGCAGGTGAAAACTCCTTAGTAATGCATTGCGATCAGGCACCCGAATAATTGGGGCAGTGTTTGCCGAGGTGACAAAATGAAATGGATTCAAATTGGGATAGCAATCTGTGGTGCGGCTGCTACATTTGAGATCCACGAGGCTTGGCGCCCCAGGCACACGGAAGGCCACAAATGCCTAGGATTGCTTTCACATTCATAAACCTGAGCTGCTCTTGGAGGGGTGTTTATATATATATATATATGGATACCTTAAAATGGAGAAGGCCATGGAAGGCCGCTGCCTTCCCTAAGCTAGAGAAAGATCCGGGAACGTCTTTACAGGACGAAAATACAGGTGCACTAAAACAAAGGAGAGTGCTCGAATTGCAGCTCCAAGATTTGTCTTTCGTTGTCTTGCGAAGCAATAAGTTTCTAAAACTTAAACCCTAAACCCTAAACCCTAAATTAAACTCTTAGAAGAGCCCTTCAAGACCCTTAAGGAGCCCGGCATGACTGCAGGACATCCCTTAGACTGTCGGAAGCAAAAACTCACCCCCTAAGGGATGTTTAGGGTGTAGGGTTTTAGGGTTCAGGGTTAATAGGGTCTAGGGTTACTAAACCCAAAACCCTAGGGTTTAGGGTTTTAGGGTTTAGGGTTTAGGGTTTAGCAGACCCACAAACCCTAAACCCAATCAGTCTGACTTGCGCAAAGCTCGCCAGCCTTACTTCAGGGCCTTCCAAGCACGCTTCGCAAGGCGGTCGAGGTGCTCCCGCGTCTTCTCTGGGATGTAGGCCTTGATGGGGGTGTAATGTAGGGACCTTAAAGCCTAATAGGGTTTTGGGGCTGTTCCTTAAAGGGTTCTATAAGGGCTTCTTTCAGGGTTTAAGGTTGAGGGACCTTAATAATTAGAAAAAAGGGCTTTGTGGTATACTATACTATAAATATAATAAGGAGCCCCCAAAACAGCATAGGTAACTAAAAAAGCCCCTGTATTAGGATCTAAGCTTCGGTGTCGGATCTAAGTTTTGGTTCAGGGAGATAGTTTAGGGCTTAGGGTTTAGGGTTTAGGGTTTAGGGCTTTGGGCACCGGTTCTTCAAGACTTCTGAAACAAGCGCTTTTCCATCTGTGCACACATTGCCGTTTCTGTTGGTATTAGACCCTACACCCTAAACCCTACAACCCTATCAGGGTTTAGGCTCCCCTTAACCCTCAACCCTAAAACCCTATTTGGGTTTCGGCTCCCCTAAACCCCTGAACCCTAAACCCCTAAACCCTAAACCCCTAAGCCCTAAACCGAACCATCTCCTTCTCTTTAAACCCTAAACCCCAAAACCCAAAACCCAAAACCCTAAACCCTAAACCCCAGGGGTTTCTTATCTTTGAGGTTTGGTGCTCAGCCTCACAAGGATTCGGAACTAAGGTGCGCGGAGTGCAACCGTGAAGTGGCCAAATTACATCTCATGTGGGGAGCTGTTTGTTTTGGGTTTAGGGTTTCGGGTTTAAGGTTTAGGGTCTAGGGTTTAGGGTTTAGGGTATGGTTTCTGAATGCAGTATCTTTAAACCTGTTGTGATTGATTTACCCGATTCATATGTTTACGAGAACTAGAATAGTCCAAGGTTCAGGCTTTGGTCAAGATGGCCCCAAACCCAGACCCTAAACCCCACACCCTGAACCCGAAACCCAAAATCCTGAACCCTGAACCCTCAACCCTGAACCCTGAACCCTAAACCCTAAACCCTCAACCCTAAACCCTAAACCTTAAACCCTCAACCCTTAAACCCCTAAACCCTGAACCGAAACCTCATGGTGTATACTTGCTCTTCAGTCTGACAGGATGTTCCCCCTTTTTGAAGGGTGGTCCGATCCCACAGAGCCCAATACCCCTTAATTAAGGAATATACCTCAAATCATAGTATTAAGGCCCCTATAATTTAAGGTATATTTCTTATTTAAGGTATATTCCTTAACCCTAAACCCTAAACCCTAAACCCTAAACCCTTATAGATCCCTTTAAGGCCCCTATAATTTAAGGTATATTTTCTTATTTAAGGGGTACTGGGCCGGGCTCTCTGGGATGAGCATTGGCCTCGATCTTCTGCAACCCGTCTTGCCCGGAGCGGCCTTAAACCCTGAGCCTCTTTGGTATGGTCATGGGGTTTAGGGTTCAGGGTTTAGGGTTTAGGGTTTAGGGTTTAGGGTTTAGGGTATTCGGAGGCGTTTGCTTCGGCAGAAACTCTAGTTCCGAATCCTCTAGCGTGTTAGCTACAACTCTTGCCCGAGGCCTTGAAGCTTAAACACAGCGTCGCTGCTTTATGAGTCTTCTTGTCATTGCCATTGTCGCTGCCCCGAAACCTCGAAGCAGAGGCGACCTATCAGAGCCCTTAACAGCTTTCAAACATCTCAACAAAGCGTAAAATCGGCGGGTCAGGGTCAGAAGAAATCTAGAAATGGATTCGTGTTTGGGGGCTGCCAAACCGCGTGGTTGTACAGATTGTGTTCCTTGCCCACCCAGCCCTTGCAGCATCAGGAGCATCAGCTGTTAATCTGTATTGCTCCAAAAATACACTACAACCCTCGATGCATGTGCATCATGAGCATTCGCTAGCACTTGGCTCGCCCACCCCCCGGGCAACATCCAGTATCATGAGCATCAGCTGGCTATCTTGATAGCTCAGGAAAACCGGCGGGCAAGCATCACGAGCATCAGCTGGCGCTTTGCTCGCCCATGCAGCACCTTGCAAAATCCAAGAGGGCAGCATCATGAGCATCAGCTGGCACTTTGGTCGGCCGCGCAGCTCTTGCAACACTCAAAAGCACATTGTCATGAGCATCGGCTGGTTATCTATCTCGCTAGCGGCCGAATCAGCTGGCAATCGTGGGAGGTCACAAACATCCATGGGCGAGCATCATGAGCATCAGTGGGCACTTTGCTCAACCATGCAACCCCAAGCAAGGCAACATCATAAGCATCATCTGGGAATTTACTTGCGCAGATTGCACGAAACACCTTGCAACTCCCGATGGGCGAGTGCAACACCAGGGAGTCCCGCATCATCAGCATCAGCTGGCAGTTGTGCGAGCTCACATACAACCTGCAGCACCAGGTGGACCCTCAATGGGCGAGCATCAGCTGGCAAGCAGCATGAGCTGGCGCTTTGCTCAATCATGCAATGCCCAGCAGGGCAGCATCATGAGCATCAGCTGGCAATCGGGCGAGCTCATAAACACCCTGCACACCAGTTGGGCAAGCATCATGAGCATCAGCTGGTACTTTGCTACGCCCACCAATCCGTGCAACACGCGAGAAGGCAGCATCAGGAGCATCAGCCGGCAATCGGGCGAGCTGACAAACACCCTTAGGCAAGCATCATGAGCATCACCTGGCACATTGCGCGCCCATCCAGCGCTGCTAGCAGGGGTGCGAGCTCATATCCACCCTGCAACACCTCAATGGGCGAGCATCAAGAGCATCAGCTGGCAATCGGGCGAGCTCATAAACACCCTGCAACACCAGCTGGGCAAGCATCATGAGCATCAGCTGGTACTTTGCTACGCCCACCAATCCGTGCAACACGCGAGAAGGCAGCATCAGGAGCATCAGCCGGCAATCGGGCGAGCTGACAAACACCCTTCGGCGAGCATCATGAACATCACCTGGCACATTGTGCAGCACCAGATGGGCAAGCATCATGAGCATCAGCTGGCACTTTGCTCGCCCACCAAGCCCAGTGCAATACTCAACAGGGCAGCATTATGAGCATCAGCTGGCAGGTTGACGGCGCAGCGGCCTAATACTGTGCGCCTAAGGTTTTGGATGTGTGGTATGGTTTTGGGGTTTGGGGGTGTAAGTTTCCGAATGTAAGGTTGAGGTGTACAGTAGCTCCAAGCATTCCTAGTCGCTAAATCCTCTAATCCCGCAAGAACTGGCCCCCGCCCCTCCCCCCAGAGCGCCAAAGCCCCCGACCCGAAAGTTTTTAAACCCTAAACCCTTAAACCCTGCAAGCCCTAACCTTTAAACCCAAATCCTGGAATCCCAACCCCCAAACCCTAAACCCGAAACTTTGTAAACCCTCAACCCTTAAGCCCGAACCCTTGAACCCTAAAAACCCGAAAACCTTACACCCTTATCCTTAAAACCTAACCCTAAACCCTAAACTTTCTAAACCCCAAACCTTAAAACCTAAAAGGCTTAAACCTTAAACCTTTAAGCCCTAAACCCTTCAACCCTAAACCCTTAAACCCTAAACCCTTAAACCCTAAGCCCTAAAATTTCCAAACCCTAAACCCTTAAACCCTAAACTTTGAGAACCCTAAACCCTAAACCTTCTAAACCCTAAACTCCCAAATTTGTTAACCCTAAACCTTTAAACCCTAAACTGTCTGAACCCTGAAACTTCTAGACCCTAAACCCTTAAACCCTAAACCCTAGACTTTCTAAACCCTAAACTTTCAAAACCCTAAGCCCTAAAACCCTAAAACCCTCAACCCGTAAACCGTGCACCCTAAACCCTGAACTTTCGAAACCCCAAAACCTAAAACCGCTGAACCCTAAACTTTCCAAACCCCAAAACCTAAAACCCCTGAACCCGTCATCACCAGGAGCCGGGCCCGAGCTTCGGGTCGGGCAATGCGCTTCGGGAAGCGCCAGAGGTCTCCCCACATGGCCTCGGTTTTGGGTTTGGGGTTTTTTTAAGGGCCTAGGGATTTAGGGGTTTAGGGTTTTGGTGTAGGGTTTTAGGGTTTAGGGGGTTAGGGCTTTAGGGTTTTTTAGGGCCTATGGATTTAGGGTTTAGGGTTTGGGGTTTCGGGCTCTAGGGCTTGAGGGGTTTAGGGCTTTAGGGTTTTTGGGTTTAGGGGGTTAGGGCCTGAGGGTTTTGGGGTTTAGGGGTTTAGGGTTTAGGGGTTTAGGGGTCTGGGGTGTGGGGTTGTAGGGTTTAGGATTTTAGGGTCCGTTTAGGGTTTAGGGTTTTAGGGTCCATTTAGGGTTTAGGGGTTTGGGGTTTCGGGGTTTAGGGTTTGGGGTTTAGGGGTTTAGGGTTTAGGGTTTTAGGGTTCAGGGCTGAGGATTTAGAGGTTTGGGGTTTAGGGTTTAAGTTTAGGGTTTAAGGGTTAGGGGTTCAGGGATGCAAGGTCCGTAAGAATGTGTATATGGTGCTATATCCAAAGGCTTGGTAGGTTTTTAATAAAGATTGCTGGCTTCTGTTATAGAGGCCTTTCCAACAATCTTCGAGAAAGGGGTCATGGGGCATAAGAATGTCTGATCATTTGTTAATTCCCCTTTATATCAACAGCCATGCAACATTTTGAAACCTGATGAAGCTCCCATAAAACCCTAGATATCCCGCTTCCCAGTACTGAAGGCCGTCTATTGGGGTGATCCCTAAACCCTAAACATTCCCTAAACCCTAAAACCTAAACCCTAAACCGAGATTGAGGGGTTTGAGGTGGGAACTTTGCAGTCGAGGCTGGAACAAAAACACATCTCGTGCTCAAGGTAAGATTTCACAGGCCTTAGCCTATGTAGGCTTTGGGGTTTAGGGTTTAGTATAAACCTGCAAACGCCTAAACCTTAGGGTTCATAGTCTCAAGTTCTCAATTAAGCCAAGATTGCAAGTCACTGATGAGACCCCTGACTGTTCCAGGGTCAGTAGAATAGACGGGCTCGATAAGAGTTCTATACGTGTTCGGGGGTCTATTTGGCGTTTCGAGGCTTTGCCTAAATATGTGCTCTCACGGTTTAAGCTTAACAGGGTTTAGATGGCAGGCTCGAGAAATTCAAGGTTCTGTGCACACTAACATTAACAGCACGCACTCAGGAGGGCAATGTAGAGTTTTGCAGGGAACTGTTTATGATTTAGCTCCCAAGCAAACCTGTCCAAAAGACACAGCAAGGAATGAATAACCCTAAACCCTATACCCATTGCCGGTAGCCCGACATCTCAGGATTTCTGGTTTCAGCCTTCGGGCCAAAAAAAAAAGCACGGCCTGAAGCTCAGAACACTGGCTTGTGGCAGCACCTTTGTCTGTATGTATGCAATATGTCTATAAACAAATAAATAAATATATATATATATATATGTATATGTATGTATTTAATTACTTATTAGTTTATTTACTTATCTATTTATATTTGTTTATATATACTGCACGTATGGTACGTATGGGCACTGCTCTAGCTATAAGCCAGTCTCCTCCTCTCCTCGACTCTTGTGGTGAGTGGCGTTTCCATGGGGAGCGATGATGACAAGCGGCCCGCAAGCCCCATACATGTTCATGTAGGGGCCTTAGGGATTTTGGAGTATATTATACTAAAATTATAACAAGGAGCCCTTAAAATAGTAGTTATTTGCGCCGCTGTATTATGTATCTTGATCACAGCTCCTCCTCTGAACCGTCCATGTGATGAACCTCAAGCCCAAAGACTGTAAATCCTAAACCCTAAACCCTTAAACCCTAAACCCAAAACCCTTAAGCCCTAAACTCTAAAATCCTAACAACCCCTAACAACCCCTAAACCCTAAACCCCTAAACCCCTAAATCCTAAACCCTAAACCCTAAACCCTAAACCCCTAAACCCGACCCGCGCTCCGCGCCTGTCTGGAATGGCGGAAACCTAAGGCTCAACCGGTGACTGAGGTCATGGCTTTGGGTTTAGGGTTTAGGGGTGTAGGGTTTAGAATTTAGAGTTTAAGGTTCAGAGGTTTAGGGTTTAAGAGTTTAGAGTTTAGGGTTCAGAGGTTTAGGGAGGGTTTAGGGGTTTAGGGTTTCAGGGTTTGGGGTTCAGGAAGCAGTCAGCCCAAGATCCTCAAACTCCAGCACCCTGACCCCTTCACCCAGCCTAAAGCCACAAACCCTGGACCTAGAACCCCAACATCCTAAAGCCTTAAATTAAAGGAAACTGTAGGTCGGGAGTTTAGGGTTTAGGGTTTAGGGGTTATGGCCAAGAGTTTCTAGTTAGGCCTCA